TTGGTTTGCATTTTAATTCATGCATTTGCATGAATGCATTTGCATTTTAACAGCAAATGGCAATAGGTGGCTTTCATGTAACAAATGTTGTAAAATAATCTACTAAGACCAGAAACTGATTAAAAATAGGTTTGCATGCATTACTCATGCCATGCCATGAAGAGTTATCTTTCCTTAATGTCTACTAAAAAAAAAATGCATCAATGAAATAATTAGTAATTTTTTGAAACGGGACCGTAGCAAACTGCTCACAACTTGTGAAAAATGTCCTCCCTGATTTTTGGAAGTGTTTTTGGCTTCCTCTGTAGAGCCTATCATGATGCCCTTTATCCATTCTGTCTTTGTGCCAAAGTGTACCAATGGACACCTGATGTGTGCCGGCTGTTTTATTCACCTCTTGGCTGATTCTCGTCTCAAGGAGGAACAGGCCACGTGTCCCAACTGCAGGTAAACCAGCTTTACTGTGGACACATTAAGATTCAGAGAAACGGCTTTTAAATTACTGGGATTTTATATCATTATTTTGTTCATGAATTTACTTTTTTATTGTTAAATTCATGCCAATTTCCTCCCAGTGCACGTAAACATATAAAGATCAATTTTATAAATAGGACTGTTTGGTCAGTTGCATGCAATTATATAGACGGTTTCTGGTTAACTACAGACCTTCTCTTATGTAATGTTGATTATTTTATTTTGATAAAGATTCCCTTCTGACTTTTTCCCCATTTTGTACTTTTATATTTTTAGTCGTTTCCTACCTGATTTTTTTTCCTTTTTTCTGGGCTTGTCAGAAGCACCAGAAAAATGTAATAATTTAATTTACTGGCATCAGTTTGTACCCGAGTCATTCCTTGTTTATTATAAGGAAAATATAGTTATAGAACTCTAGTAAATATTATCTAAAAGCTGCAGGTCAATCTTGGTGATTCTTGATATAATCAGTGTTATCATCAAGTTTACTAATGCAGATAATTCAAATCAAGATGATATATGGCATTCGCACATTTCTAAAGATTTATTCTTAATTCATTAAAACGTGAAGTGCAGAGAAAAAAAATCTGAGCTTCTGTCGTTAGGCATAAAAAAAAAAATCTTCCTCGGCTTATTTATCAAACAATAAAGGACACAAATGGATGTTAAGATACAGTAAGTGCAAAATGAAAGTTGTAAAACCTGAAATTAGTTCTTGGTTTGACCCTTCTGGCATAACTTTTTGAGATCCAATAATTGTATGAATAGAGATCTGCAGCGAAGAAGCAAATCAAAATATTAAATATAGTCTTGGTTAGGCCTTGTTTGGGGATTTTTAACAATGGATAACATTTTTACTAACTGTCAAATTAATGTACTGATCTTAGTTTTACAGAAACATTGTGAGCAAATCCTTTAATGTAGCAGCTCAGACGAATCCTTTGTGAATCTTTAAGATCCAATGAAGTGCAACTGAATAATATTCCTGAACTACCAAAAGACCTTAAGCTTTTTTTTTATTTGTAAATCTTTGAAAAATAAAGAACTTTCCAAATCCAAGAGATCATTTCTTTTTTGGATTTCTGTTTTTCTTTCATTTCAAGCATTTTTTTCCCACAATACAATCTACATATATGAATAGCATCTACACA